CCTTGGACATCGCCTGTTGTAGCTGGAGGGGGGGGCTTGCGCTTCTCCGTGCCCGCGGGCAGAAGCTTTTCGGTCCCCAGCGCTGGAGATCATACTAAGGCAAAGGAAGATGTGGTTATTCTTTGCATAGACCAGATATAGTCTTTGAATAGAGCAGATGTAGATACTCTTTGCCCAACCTGGTCTAGTGGGAGATGTCCCTGCCCATGGAACTAGATGAGCTCTAAGGTTCCTTCCAACCCACACCATAATAAACTGGGATTTATTACCCCTCGGCTCCCTTTTATAGCTTGGATGTTTTATAACAGGTCCTGACATTCATAGCAGGGCACTGCCTGAGCCTCAGAGCTATAGAAAAGCTTTGATAAGTCGCTGTGTAATTAGAAGCAAAGTTCTTCTAGGGGTGGCCTTGGGTTTGTGCCACGTCCGTTCTTCACAGAGGACTATGGCAAACATGCACCTGATAAAAGGGTGGAAGTCTGCCTGCTCCAAAGTGTGTCTGTAAACCACCATATCCATCAGAACCTGGTGGTTTGCTCCACCTGGGAATAGACTGTGCCAGCAGATGCAGGGATCATTATCCCCACCGTGCTGAACATGCGCCTGGGGCTTCCCTGACCGACACGGGACCATGGTTGCCACCAGGCAGCAAGTCCTGAGTGAAGGCAACTCAAAGCTTTCCCTTTCCTCTGGCCAGATGAAGCTTGGACTGAACAGCAGAGCCCTCTGAGGCAGGTCTGAGTAGAGCTTAGGGGTTAACTGTGAAGCCTCTTGTCTTCTGAAGCCTCTTGTCCTTTAGTGTGGGCAAAGCGAGCTAATGGTCTCCTTGTTTCGACTTCATTTTCCTTCTCCTTCAGCTGCTGTGGGTATGTGGCAGAGCAGTACCAAAGCTAAACCTCTTCTCATCGCAGAGGCCTTCAGCTAGGCTTCTGTTTCACACGCATGAAAAGGCTACTGAGGGCCAGAATAGGGCAGTAACCTTTAGCAGAGACAAAGAAAGGAATCCTTGTGACCTGTGCTGCCATTGTAGCAGTGAGGAAAACAAATCTGGGAGCTATAAATTGCTCTCCAGAGGAAGCACAGAGCCCAAGTGGGAAATCCAGCCCTAGGGAATGGGGTGAAGCTCTGCAAGAGCTTCTTACCAGTGAGAGACACCACTGGAGCCAGGGAGTTGTAAAGTAGGGACCTCGCCAGCTGAGTTATGGCCAGGATTAAGCAAGGGAGCTTAAGTGGTTGGTTTATTTTTATCTGGCTGTGTTTCCTCAGCACTGTTGTGGGCAGGGTACGTTAGGGCTCAGGAACTGGTTGGAAACAGAGGGATATTCCAGACCTGGAGTCTCCAGAGCCCTCGGAGTATTCCACCTGGGGCTTGCCACCGAGTAGAGCTGCTCTTTGGGGAGCTGACCGGCTCTAAGACAGGAGCATGGAGCTGCCATTATAGAAGTGAGGAAAACAAATCTGGGAGCTATAAATTGCTCTCCAGAGGAAGCACAGAGCCCAAGTGGGAAATGCAGCCCGTGGATGGATTGAGAACCACCTCCGCTGCTGGTAAGACTCGTAGTAACTCCTTGGGAGCAACACTGCCGTTCCCAAGCCTCGCCTCACCTCGTCATCCTCTGCCTTACTCCCTGTGTATGCCGTGCCTATTCCTCCACCTTCGAGCTGCTCTGGCTTCGTGCCAGCTCTGTTCTTCCTGCTCCACCTTCCCGGGATACGTTACTCTCTCCTTGCTCCCCGCTCTCTCAGTGGTTTGCTGGGGAATGCACGTGAGCGCCTGTTGGGTGAAGGCTGTCAATCTCTAACCCAGACTTCCTTTTCCAGGTATTACCCGTGCCTGCTGCCGGTTGTTTCAGAGCCCTGTGAGAATGCTGTGCTGCACAGGTACCCCGGGCTTGCCAGCCAGCCCTGCAGTAGCCTGGAAGGCTTAGGCTTAGCTCCTTTAGTCTCCTTGTCTTGTGTTGGAGGGCACCTAATAGCTGCTGCTTAGTAAGCCCTGAGTTGTGAGAGTCCTCACCCTCTGCTAATACCTGCTCTGCACCCAGTGGAGGAGGCAGCTGGAGGTGGAGGCATTTCCCTTCCCCTCTTGCTTTCTCGAGGTGGGAATTCATTCCTCACATCTGGCTGTGAGAAGGTCTCCGAGGAACAAGCTGCTATTGTCCAACTCCTCTGTGTATTCAGGGCTGTGGAAGTGGGGTGATGGAGGCAGTTTAACTGCTTGGGTCTGGGCTTGCTGATGAAGTGTTTTCTTGGTTCAGCTAAAACCAGCTGCAAGGAGATAGGGAATAGTTTCTTACATGCAGGAACCGACCCGAATGGAGCATGAGTACTCAAGGTGGTAAGTGCTGTGGAACCTGGCATCTCCTTTGCTCCTGTGCTTTTGGCAAGTAACATACTATTAGAAGCAGTGAGAGGCAGGTGATGGCAGCTGCCTCTGTCTTTCCTGGGATGAATATAATCCAGGGGGGTTCTTTACATTAAGGAAGAAGCTCTCTCTTCCCAGTGAGGGGACTCTGTTGTTCCATGCATGGAGTTGGAAGGTGTCAGAGGCCACAGGGTATCGATACTGAGCCGCAGCTGCTGTTGGAACAAGGACGTGGAAATCAGTCATCCTCCCGCAAAACAGGGACATCCTAAATGGAATCGCTTAGGAAAGTGTTTGCTGGAATTGGGAGCGAGTCAGGTCCGTGCTCCGGGCTGGAGCAGTGCCACAGGATCAGTCGTAAGAGCGTGGCACAGGGGCTTGGGATGGGAGCTGCGCCCGAAACGAAGAGTAAATACCCATCTGGGCAGATCTCCCGTGTGTTCTGTAGCCTTCTGCCAAACCTGCGTGGCAAAGAGCATGGCTTTGCTCCAGAAGAAGGTCAGAGCTCACCCTGCCGGGTAGGGGAACGTGAGCAGCCTCTCCCAGGGGCTCAGAGGTCTTCGCTGGAGACTGGGTGCTCTTATCTCTGTCTTTCTCTTCCAGGTTTAACTGGAGCGAGCTGGTCCCGCTGCGGTTATGGGGGAGGACCCTTGGCTTGCAGACAGAGCACTCTCAGTTCCTCCTGGAGGGCATGCCATTCCGCATCTTCGGAGGCTCCATGCACTACTTCCGAGTCCCCAGGGAATACTGGGAAGATCGAATGCTTAAAATGAAAGCCTGTGGCTTGAACACCCTCACGACGTAAGTGTCCTCCCTCCCTGGGGCTCTGTCACGTTCAGCCTCTTCCATAGTGGTTGGTTGGACTTTGTCCTTGATCCCAGTTGTTTGAAAGGCCCAAACGACACGTGAACAGGCACTTGCAGCGTGCACAGGATGTGTGCATCGCTCACAGAGGGGGTTTGGTGGGCTTCACAGATGCACCTTTCCACCCCTTCACTGCCCATACTCTGCGTTTCAGGTACGTGCCCTGGAACCTCCATGAAGCAGACAGAGGGAAGTTTGACTTCAGGCGGAACCTGGATCTCAGGTACGTGGTACAGACAGCTCTGCTCCGCATCCTCTTGGGTGGAGGGCAGGAGGGGTGTTGGGTCTGGATGGGGATGTCACTTCCAGCCTCTGAAGTGAAGCCTTGATCAGGCGATGGAGACTCTCTCATTGCTTCTGGAGTCCTGGGAACCTCGAGCTTTAGTACCAGCCCAAGCCTCACCAGGCAGTCGTGGTCCCTGAACTTCACAGTGACTGGTGGATGAGGAGTGCAGGAGGAGGGAGTCTGCAGTCAGCCACTAATGAAGCTCTCTGGCTCTCCAGGGCCTTCCTTTCACTGGCAGCTAAGAATGGACTGTGGGTGATTCTGCGTCCTGGCCCTTACATCTGCTCTGAATGGGACCTCGGGGGTCTGCCCAGGTAAGTGTGTGAGTAATTCACTTGAGGTGAGCGTTTGGGATGGTGGGAAATGCCAAACAAAGGCCCTCATCACACAGTTGAGCCTCCTTCCGAGATTTGGAAGGATGGGCTGGCCCATAACTTGGCCATCCCCCTGCTGTATGCCCTCCTAAAGCCCACAGCTTGCTGCTAAGAGCTGCCTTGGAGACGTCAGCATCGAGACTTGCCTGGTTACTAGATCCCAGTGGAACCACTTGTTTTCCTCACCTTCAAGGAGCACAAACCTCAGCCTTTGGCATCAGGGGGGTCAGGGGTGGAGCTGGGGATTGCTCGTGGCCAGCAGCCAGCTGTGTGTGACATGAGTGCACATATTGCCTTGTATATCTTTATCAGGCAGACAGAAAGCTCTCGGAAAGAGCAGCAGTGCTATTCTCCTTGCACAGGTAAAGCTCGAAGTGTTACAGCACTGCACTGTCCTCCTCTTAAATAAATTGCCCTTTTCTGTGTTAACACCCAACCAGTGAGCTAAGGCTTGGAAGTGAGCAGTAGAAACCATGGGAACAATTCCTGGAAGCTTTGGTGGAGCGATGGTTGGGGTTTGTGAGGGAGCACTTGGTTGCAGAGTGGCCCTGGGGATGCGGGATGGTCCAGAGTAACCCTGCAAGTGGCAGGTTTAGCCCTTGAGATCCTATGGGGAAAGGTAATGAAATGAGCTCGGGCCCAAAATACAGGCCAAAAAGAAGGGAAGAGGTTGGCAGTTGGAGGCTGGACTCACTGCAAGGGGTGAGTGGTGTCCTCCCCTGACTCGGGTGCCCATACCTGCGCTGTGGCCTTGGCCAGTGGCACGGGAAGATCAAGGATTCCTGCCCACATGTGGCTTTGTGCTGGGGGGTGGTGTTACCTCTGCCAGCCCTGGGTGGCCAGGAGGCTCTGATGGCTTCTCTTTGCTGCTTTTCTCATAGCTGGCTACTGCAGGACCCGGAGATGCAGCTGAGGACAACGTACAAGGGCTTCACAGAAGCTGTGGATGCTTATTTTGATCATCTGATGCCTATTGTTGTCCCTCTTCAGGCAAGTCCAGCCCATTAACCCTCTCTGTCCACAAGTGGGGACTGCGTGCACAGAGGAGAGGGGAGCTGTGTGTAATGGCAGCAGGGCTGAAGCAAAACCAAACCAGTGCGTGCTGGGGTTGTCTCTGTCAGCTCTCCAGATCCTCAGGTTTGGTTATACTCAGACTTCGGGAGAGTGGAGCTGAGTCCATCTGAGGCTCCTGCCTCTTCCCTGCAAGCCAGTGCCACTGAGATTTCCATCCCTCTGCTCAGAGAGCCTGGTGAGCAACTTCTCGCTTTCATTCCCAACAGTACAAGAACGGAGGTCCCATCATTGCAGTGCAAGTGGAGAACGAGTACGGTTCCTATGCCAAAGACCCAAACTACATGGCCTATGTTAAAATGGTAACGTTGGCACATTTACTTGTTTCTGGGGTGAATCTCTCTCTCCTGAGCACCTTCCTTGTGGTGTTTTCTTTCTTCTGAGTAACTTCAGAGCATGGCTTCAGAAACCCTGGAAAGCATCAGTGCATAATCCCGCTGCTTTTCCCTTCGTCTTGCATCCTGGAGTGGAAGAGGTGCCATATGAGCCTCTCAGTAGTGATAAGCCTGTGTTCTTATGTCTTCCAGAGAAGAGGCTGATAGGGAAGTGGGGGAGTATCTGGAATAGATAGCTGGCCTTGAAGAAGCTGCCTTCTTCTGGTCCTGTTTTGCTTCTCTTAGACGACATTAGAGAAAGGTTTCTCTTTGTCTCTGACTTCCCTGGATGTGACCAAGCCACTGGGCACACTCCTCAACATGTGTAACCTGGAGCTCAGCATCAGGCAGTTCATTTGCCAAGCTGCCCCCCTTAACCCTTGTCAAACAGAGACTAAACTCTGCCCTGGCTCCTGCCTCTGAACTGAGTGATGGAGAGTTGGCCAGGGCCCAAGGAGGCCCAGGTTATCCCGGTGGATCTAACACCGGGTTGGAAGGAACCTTAAAGATCATCTAACATAAGCCTGGCCTGTTCATTTCCCCCCAGTAGAGCTGCAAGGCAGACACTTAACAAGCTCTCCAGCATCTCTCACCAAGCCTGGTGGTTCATTTCTTCTCACTGGACCCTTAAAAGTGCTGTTACACAAGTGTGCGTGTGCTATAACCTGGATGTCCCCTCCTCTTCTGCTACAGCACTATCAGATCCTCCTTGAAACCCTTTGGGTGCCCCAGCTTCACCTTGAGGTTCCCTCTGGCTCACGTTGCCCTGTTGCTTAAGGCAGAGAGAGGCTTTTGCACTGCATCAGTGGTGTGGCAGGAGCCCTAATCTGCTTAGAGCAGTGCCTGCACTATCTCCATCTCCAATAGGAAGCACATGCCAACACGTGAAGGAGTTAATGGCCAATCTGAGCTGATAATAGATCAACTTGCCTCCCTGTGTCACGCCAGTGGCAAGTATATAAGCAACTGGCTTTCAGAGCCCTGCATGGATGGGGCACAGGGACTCTGTTGTGTCTGAGCAGTGTTGACTCGGTGCTTTTCCATATCTCTTGTCATGCAGGAGCTTGTGATGCTCCACAGGCTTGTCAGCACAGATTTCCCTGCCAGGCCTCCTGTGGGTGTGTTTCTGCAGTGCTGTTTCATCAGATTCTGGTGCTGTGTGCCACATGCATCCGAGGAAGCCCATTGCAGTGGGTAAAGATGGAACTGTGGGAAAGCAGGATTTGCAGGGCATCCTTTTTGGTTGGAGTGGGATCTAATGTGAGGCGGAGCTCCTGTGCTTTGTTCTGGTTTGGGCTTTAAGTGTGAATTCACATCAGCAGCTAGAGGGTATGTTGCAATCCTCCCGGAAGGAATATGCCCATTAAACCTCCCCCCTTCCCCAGCTCATGGAACACCTGAAATCCCTGTGCTTGCCTCACTCATGTGGGTGCAGAGCCATGCAAGGGTGTATTGGCAGCTCCCTCCCCACACAGAGCAGGAGCTGGGATTAGCTGAGCACACACCTGGGTCTGTTGCTATTCCTGGTTTCTCTGCTGTGCCCTGAAATCCCCTAAGCCATTTCAATGTGTGGCAGCTCTCTGCTGGTTCTCCAGTTTACACTTGTGTTCAGAAGGAGAGCAAGAAACTTCACATTAATGCAGTGCTCAATCTAATCTGGGTTCGAAACGCCAGTCCCTCAGTAGCTGGATTTTGTCAGATACCTGCATCCAGTCAAGCATCAATAAGTAATTCCAGGTTGATGAACTAACCTGGTTGTCCTGACTCTGAATTGGGCTTGACTTTTAACCTCTGTGTTGTATTTCTTCTCTACTGTGGGCTGTGTGGAATGCTCCACTGTGCTCTTTGTGCAGGCTGGTACCATCTGCAGAGGTTTCTCTGAACACACAGCAGGCATGAGCCAGTTGCTGTTACTTTATCTCCTATAAATGCCTTTATCACCACTTCAGAGTTAGGAATTCAGAAGGAGGGGGCTAAAGGCTTGTTTTTAAAGCTCCTTGAGGCTGAGGGAGTGACTTCCCTGCAGGTACAGTGAAAAGAGGGGTGAATTTGGGCTTTCCCAGTCTCTCCTTCAAACAGGAGCAAGCAGAAGAGAACAGTCCTGATGGGAAGAGCCTTGTGTGTGCACGTGCATTCTAAAACCTCAGAGTCCTGTTTCATGCAGAGGAGAACCTGTAAATTCATTGACTTGCCTGTTCAAGAACACAGGTACCTGGGCTGCCCGTCATGCATTCACTGGCACATCAGCTTCCATTACCACTCAGGAAGGGTGAGCTGCTCTGCTTTGTCTTCTTCCACCTGAAGCCTTCTTTTGATGCAAAACAGAGCTCAGAAGAAGGAGTTTGATGCATCAACTTTCCAATCCAGCTTTCTAAGACACAAGGAAGTTTGTCAGTTGTCTTTAAGCTGGGAAAAGCAGGCAGGGAAGCTTCAGGAGCAATGGGAAATGTCACAGGAAGAACGGTTCTTACCAAGCCACTCCCAGGTTCAAGCTCTCCCCAGAGGTGGTGACAATGCTTTAATACCCTGAGCAACACTCAGCTCAGGCTCTTAACACAATTGCTTCTCCTCTTTCTCATTTAGGCCCTGCTAAACAGAGGGATTGTGGAAATGTTAATGACCTCAGACAACAAGAACGGGCTGTCCTATGGCTTAGTGGCAGGAGGTATGTGCTTGGAGGAGGTATGTGCTTGGAGGAGGTATGTGCTTGTAGCAGGTATGTGCTTGGAGGAGAGCAGGGTAAGGCTGTTCTTTGCAAGGGCAGCTGATGAAGCACAGCCTTTGGGTAAGAGCAGTACGATCCCTTCACTAAGCTGCACCCATTCACTGTGTTGGCCAGATTAAAAGGCTGGAAATACTACTTTGTTATTGCTTCATTTCAATAGATATTAAACAAATACCTCAGCCACTATTAACAGTAATAACTTAAGAATAAGATACCCACTTTGCAATAAGAAAGAGAATGAAAAAGTCCATCCAAACCTTGCTTCACAGATACAACATTCTGCAAGGTTAGTGGTTTGGGGCAGCCCTCTCTGTGCAGCCAGCTTGCTCTGGGCTGTTGCAGCCTCTGGTAGGTAGGTGAAGGAGGGTGTCATTTGCTAAGCTCATGCAAAGACATTTCCCTTCTATTTTTCCTCCTCTTGTTTTTATATGACGGGGTTTATATGCCCAGGTTGGACACAGGGGCTTGGAGCAACCTGCTCTAGTGTGAGGTGTCCCTGCCCGTGGCAGGGGGTTGGAAGTGGATGAGCTTTAAGGTCCTTTTCAACCCAACCCATTCCATGATTCTATGACAGTAAGAGAGGGACAAATTCAGCCCATGGCCCTACACCAGTACCGTGTCTTCTCACATGTGCTCTGGTGGTGTGCAGCAGTGTTCAGCCATAACCACACAGAGTCACTCTCTCCCTGGCAGAGAGCTGCAGTGTGGGGCTGGTGTGGAAATCCCTCTTTAGCCCTCCCTATCTCCTGTGGGAATGTTTATTGCCTTGGAGCTCGTGTTTGGAGTTGCCTTTTCCAGCGTGTTGCATGCTGAGAGCTCTTTGATACCAATTTGCCTCTTAGAAGTCATAACAATCTGCTCATTAGAGTCAACATGTCAAGTAATCAGATGTGTGGAATAACTGGGGCTCGGAGCAGTAGAGCAGCAAGGAGATTATGGAAGCACTACAGGGGAGAGAACAAAACCCACTGTAGAAATGGGGAAGAAAATAGAGAAGACTCTGTACTGGAGCTGAAAACGAATGTGTTTTTGTTGATTCTGATCCCCAGTGGTGTACTGAGCTCTTTCTGAGAAGCATTTGTAGGTTCCTCTTAATGCCAGGAGCAGCCTGTTTGTGGAAAGCTGGGTGTATGTGGGAAGTACGTCCTGTGGGAAGGATGGAGAAGGCTTTGGGGGCTGGTTCTCTGCACCCTTCTCAGTGGTGTGCTGTTAATCTGCATGAGGAGCAGAATTGGGCACGTTCACCTTCAGGATTGCCAAGTAATGCTAAATCCAGCTATGCAGCAGCTCGCAGAGAGAGGTTTTCCTGCTCCAGTGCTGGAAGCTTATGGAGTGACTTTGGCTGCACATGCAGCACACACCAATAGCTGCTGGTTCTGCACAGGGCAGAAGCACAGATTAAGCTTCCCATTTCTATGTGCTTCACTGGTACCGTGGTTTCTCTTGCCCACCCCACAGACATGACAAGCTCTAAGATAGTGGGCATTGATTCCCAGCGCCTGGAAGCTGAGCGTGGCATCCAAACTAATAAGTTTGCCTTGATGTGGTGCTTTTTATCTGAGGTTTCATCCAAGTGCTTTACAGCCTCTTAACTAAAGCTCGTGAGCTACTCTGATGCTCTCTTTCTGGTGTCTCTGAACATGAGAGCCACAGAGATGGCCTGCAAGTATTCCACTGTGTGCTGCTGTCCAGTTGGATTCTGCACACCAAGTGAAGGCTTTGATGGGAAACTGCGGAGTGAGGAGGTTGTAAGGGTGGTTCAGAAGATGCTCCACGTCCCCCTGAGCTCGTGCTGGATTCCCAATGGCCCCTCAGGCGTTTTGCACGTGGTTAAATGAATAAAGCCTTTTTCTTCTCCCCAATAGCACTGGCCACTGTTAACTTCCAGAAGCTGGAACCTGGGCTGCTGAAACATCTGGACTCAGTGCAGGTAAGGTGCAGGAGACCTTTGTTTAGCTCAGTTTGGAAGGAGCTCTTGTCTCTGTTACGTTACCTTTTCCTCGTTAAGGTCTTTTATTCCAGAGGGTGGTAAAACTCCTCCTTTGGATGAGTTTATTAGGGGTGGATTGATGAAACATTCCCAAGAGCTGCTCTGAACCTGGAACAATTAGATTCCTACAGGCAGCTGCAGTTGTTTTCTCCTAATGAAACATGAGGGGCTTTAATGCCACTTAATGTGGCCGTTCCATGTGGCATCAGATAAAACCCCTGTGAAATAAAGGGCAGAATTCCCTTGGCTAGGAATGGGTGCTGTGAGGAGGGAGTGCCAGCCAGGCTGAGCTCCTGGCCAGTGGGATGGGACCGGGTGGAATTCCCAAGAGCTAAAGCAGGCTGTGACAAATGGGAAGCAATTGCTCTGTGGCTGCAGTTGCAGAGCTTTCTAATGAAGACCTAATTCCTGCAAAGGCGAATTCCTTGCTGCCAGCACCATGTGCAGCATTAACAAGGCATTAAGCTGCTCGGGGCTGCTGTTGTGCCTTGGCAAGCACTCAGTGCCGTGCACCTGCACGCTCGGGGCTGGCACTGAGAAGCTGACATCCCTAAATGCCTATTTCCAGGAGCAAAGCAGTGACAATTGGTTTGTCTTTGTGCTCTGGCTCTGCCAAACCCCAGCATCCAGAAGTGTTTGGTGGCACCTGGTTGACTGCTGTGGGCTTTGTGCCTTAGCAGAGGACTTCTCTGCTTCGCTGGTGTGTTCTGGGTGCTGCAGGCCCCCAGCATCTTGTTCACAGCTCTTGGGTGCTTTTATTATACCAACTTGAGAAGAAGACACTTGCAAACCACGTTGTCAAACTGTGTTTGAACAGAAGAGCCAAGTCTCCGTTTTAACCCTTTGGTTTTGTTTTGCTACAGAGAGATCAGCCCAAGATGGTGATGGAGTATTGGACTGGATGGTTTGATAACTGGGGGGGCCCTCACTATGTCTTCGATGCAGACGGTGAGCACCATATCCTGCTCCTGTAGGTCCCACCACAGTTTTCAGCCCTGCTGTAACCTTTGCTTAGTGGGAGGCTTTGGAAATGAGGAGCCCCTCAGTGAGTGGGTCCTGTTGCTGTGGCTTTTCTTCAGTAGTGTCAGTAAATGGCAGCTCTTGTGATGATTGTTTTCCTTTCTGTTTCTTAAGGAGGGGCTCTGGGGTGTGCAGAGAGTCAAACACCCCGAGGTAGGAAGGTATTTCGTAGGGCTGGAGCTGCTCTGGAGCCAGGCTGAGAGAGCTGGGCTGGTTCAGCCTGGAGAAGAGAAGGCTCCTGAAGGGGAGACCTTAGAGCAGCTCCAGTGCCTAAAGGGGCTCCAGGAAACCTGGAGAGGGGCTTTGGACAAGGCCCTGATTTAAATCCTCAGTCTCACACCTTCTGAAATGGATCCTTCTTCTCTAGTTTAAAAGCTCATTAGGAAGGAAAAGTAGTACTGAAAACACCCAACCCAAACAAACCCTCCAGAACCTCCTGGGCATCTAACCCAGATGCTGTAGAAGCTCTGAAAGCAGAGCTGTGTAAGACTATTGCAATGACGGTCTCATCCTCCTGCAGTTGTCTTTGTAATGGGCTCATTAGTGGTTGAGTAGAGCAGGCTGACTGAGTAGTGCTCCAAACTCCTCTGCTTAGAAGCAGAATTCCTGCTCAAGGACGTGAGCTTTATCCTTTTTCACATATAGGAGAGGGGTATTTGAACGTATCAGTGTGTCAATAGACATGCTGCTCTTCCCGAAGGCAAAATCCATATCCCAATCCAAACCCCTGTAATGATAGCGACTGGCAAGGACCAGAATGTTTGTCTGGAGGAGCTTCAGCCTAGCTTCTTGCTCTGTGGCCTTCCTGGCACTGCCCTTCCTTTACAGAAATGGTGAACACTGTAGCCAGCATCCTCAAACTGGGAGCATCCATCAATCTCTACATGTTCCACGGAGGCACCAACTTTGGCTTCATGAACGGTGCTTTGGAGGCTGACGAATACAAGTCAGATGTCACCAGTTACGGTGAGTTTTCTTGCACTGCCTTGCCCATGCACCTATGGAGTGCAGCTCACACTCCCTCGTGGGCTGGTTACACTTGACAGAAGCATTGAGAAGTGATCCCTACCACCACTTCTTCATGGAGAGATGAGTCGGAACGTAGCTCAGAAGCAAATACCCGTGTCAAAGGGGGGTTACAGTAGTGTCTCCTCTTTCCATACCTATTCCAGGGTGTGGAGAATGCCCTCATTCTGAATGGGGAATAGGAGTCACAGCTGACAACTTTGCCTCATGTCAATAGTGCTGTCTCAGAGCTGCTGTGCTGCTCTTTCAGATTATGATGCTGTGCTGACAGAGGCTGGAGATTATACATCCAAATTCTTCAAGCTCCGACAGCTCTTCAGCATGATCATTGGTAAGGAGAAATCCAGACCCAAGTCACTGTCCTGCCTCCAGTGTTCAATCAGAGACGGGCTCCAGCTCGTTTAGCTGGAGCCCTGTGGCTCTGGTTGGTTCTTGGCCTAAAGATGGGAGGGAGAACCAGAGGAGCCTTTAAATCTGTGCTGGCTTTTTGCACCTCAGAGAGTTGTTTCATCTTTCTCTTTCTTTTTGCATCTCAGGCCAGCCTCTTCCTCTCCCTCCTGTGATTGAAAGCAAGGCATCCTATGGTGCAATCCTGTTGCATCAGTACATCTCTCTCTGGGATGTGATACCATCTCTTCTACAGGTAGTACTACCAATCTTAATGCCAAAAGGCATCACTCCTTGGGTGGGAAGGGCAATTAGCGCTTGTTATCCCATGAGGATAAAGTTGGGGCATGATTCTATGATATGCAAAGGAGGCAAATCTTTTATGTCACCTTTTTTACCGCTGCTTCTCTTGGAATCTCAGTTTGGCAAGTCCTTGGCTCCCTTTTCTGGCACCTTCATGGCTGTGGCTTTCAGAGAGCCACAGGTAGTTCAGGTTGAACGGGAGGTTTACAGGGTAAATGTAGCCTGTGGCAGAGTGGAACACCTATCTGCACTGAATTGCCTCTGGGTACCCTGGTAATGCTGAGAGGCCAGCTCTGCCCTTCAATCTGTCTCTCCTTTGCAGCCCATAAAGTCAGAGTTTCCCATTAACATGGAGAATCTGCATCTGAATGATAGCAGTGGGCAGTCGTATGGGTACGTGCTCTATGAGACTGTCATATTTGGTGGTGGCCATCTCCATTCAAGGAACCACGTCCGTGACCGAGCACAGGTAAGGAGCAGAGGGACCAACCTAAGTCAAGATGTGAGTGCTTTGGACTTGGCAGGTGGGCAGGAAATGGGTCAACCATGAAGGGAAATGGAATGTTCTCAGCTAAGCCCCAACCTTTAATCGTTTGTGAATGAGGTTGAGGTTCCAGTCTGCTGAAACTGATGTCTTTAAACAGCTGAATATTGAATGTTCTGAGAGATGCTGTGATTTTCCTCCCCTACTTCGAGTAAATCAGTGACACTGAGGTCTAGTTGCAAGTAGAGGCAATTTCCTCCCCAAATACAGCTTCATGCAACTATAACAGTGTAACTGATGAGAAGTGACTCTCCTCTCTTGTGCTCTGCTCTGCAGGTGTTTGTTAACACCATGTATGTTGGTGAGCTGGACTACAACATAGTGGAGCTCTCCATTCCTGAAGGACAGGTAACTGACTGGAGATGGCTCGCAGCAATAGGATGTGGATAATGTGACCAAGACTGCTAAAGAAGGCATCTCCCCCCTAATCCATTTAACAGTAACCTGACACAGGGAATGGTCGTTATACCCCAACGAGACACTATTTCACTAGTGAAGTACAGGGTGATTTCAGTGCCAAGTGACTATTTGTGCCTGAGAAGTGCACAAGAAGAAGTCTTCTCCATGGAGAAGACTCAAGTCCTGTTGTCCTTGCTGCACAAAATTTACAGCCTTCTACAACTGCAACTGTAGACATTAAGTATTGTGTAGGCTTCACCTTCCTTAGCACAAAGCAGCTTTTAAGGGGGTTTGGGGGCTTTTGCACGTTTTAGGACTTAAATAAAATGAGGGGGAATGTCTCTTCTTAGCTCTGAGAGTAGTCTTACCCTGGCAGAAGCTGGCAGTAAGACTAGTACATTGATTGAAGCATGTCAACAGAGCTGTGCGTGGCTCCTACGAGTAGGTGAGTGGGTTGGATAGAGGGGTTGTTCTTATGACTTGAGGGAGAGCTGTATGACATGAGCTGTACTATGTCAAACTCCATTTCTGGCTCTGTGGGTGAGACCAAAGTGGTACTTCACGTTTCAACAGCTTATGAAAAGGCTGAATGTTCCTCAGGGGCATCACTACTTGTAGTAGGTAGAAGATACTATCCTGCCCCATGGTCCAGAGCTTTCAACAGACAAATTGCACCTGCCAAAGGTATTGGTGCCACCTCCCCTCTCTTAAACACATCTACTGACCTCTGTTAGCCAGGCATTAGGGCTGATAGAGCACATGCTGAGCACTGGTCCAGCTGATGCTTTTCCTTGTCTGTCTTACAGGGATTCAGGCAGTTAAGACTCTTGGTAGAGAACCGTGGTCGTGTCAATTATGGCCTGGCACTGAACGAGCAGAGAAAAGGTAAGTTAAGTTCTTTGTTCTCCCACTGTCCTAGATAGTTCTCTGAGTTTAAACACTGTAGAACTGGGTTTGATACTGGAGGATCACAACAGTTAAAAGCTCACCCAATACCAGGAGGAACAAATTGCACCCTGCTGAGCAGAATGTACTGACATGTTCAAGTCTGACACACAGTTGTGGAGCTGAAAGAGGTCAAACCCCCAGGATTCTGTTTTAGTGGGGAGTTATGTGCAAAAACTACACAAAATAGACTAATGGACTTGGGCACGTGGCTGTACACACTTCATTTTGCCTGCAGAAGAGGTGCACAAAGCCTCTGTGCTGCTTATATAGTCTCAACTGCAGGCCTGTAAGTAAGATTAGGACCCAGCTTTGCCTGCTACATGGAGGATGACTTTATCTAACAAGAATGTGGCTGCTTTCCATCCTCTGCTGTTCCTCACCTTGAAATAGGACAATTTCTCTGCTTTAGCTCTTCATCACCCCCATTGCTCTTGCAGGCTTAATTGGTGATGTCTTCTTGAATAATACCCCCTTGAGGAACTTCAAGATTTACAGCTTGGAGATGAAACCTGCCTTCATGAAAAGGTTTGTGGGATCAAAAGCTCTTTTCTTCCTCATTTGAGACCAGCTGTTTACCAACAGGGCTAAATCTCCTCCGTAGCAGTTCCCTGTATGAGGCAGCACAAGGTAAAGTAGGTGGCACTTGATCTATCCCATGATTTTGGGGTGAAATGTATTCTCACTGTGGAGGATTTCAAGGCTTCCTTCATAGCAGGGTTGGATCAGGCTGGTAAAAGCATGGCTTACCCAAAGGGATGGGTCCCAACATACCCAGGGCTGGACTTGATCATCTGAAAGGTCTTTTCCAGCCTGCTTGGTTCTGTGAGTCTCTGTTGGAGAATCACATCAGCAACGTGACTTAGTAATTTAAACTCACAAGAGATGGATTAACTCCAGGAAGCTACTAATAGTACATGAACAAGGAGGGGAAAGTTAAGGAGCCTCTGTTATAGACAGAGAAAGCCTTAGCAAGTGTTTCAGGCAACAGATGCCCTATGGACTCTGGCCACCATCCAGAGAGGCTGTCTGCAGCTTGTTCACACCACAGAGTAACACGTGTGCACCCCCTGAGATCTCACAGCTCCTGTGTTGTGTTGTAGGAAGGAGAGAGGCCATGAAATGGCTTTTCAAAGGGATCTGGACATTTCCAAGAGGTGCTGGGGGACTATTGGAAGGGTATTGAGGGCGTAACTCCCATCCCCTTGGACTGCAAGTGAACTGCCATAACCCAGGCTAAAGTGAGGTTAATCAACACTCCACAGGGTTATTGGCAATTGCCCAGGAGCAGCAAAACACAGTCAGCTCAGAGCCACTTCACTGGGTGGGAGGATGGGAAAGGCTTTTAGCTTGACTGCTCCCCAGTTACGCAACTGCACTGGATCAGCAACTTCCCCGATTCCCAAGAGCTGCACTTCATAAGGGTCAGAAGGAACATGTGGGACTCCCACACTCCTCTTTTCCTCTTCTGTTTGTCCCCTGCTCTCAAACTGTTGCCACGGGTAAGAAATGGTGCCAGATTGCCCCCAGTTACTGCAGACTCACACGGATGTGTCCGTGTTCCTCACCTGGAATGTGTGGTTTGAATCCTATCACGTTTTCCTTCAGCACATGCCAGCCACGTGCAGTTCACCTTGCACCATGGTGCCTGAAGGAGGATGGGCACGTCAGCAGTGTTAGAGATGGTGATAGCCCCCTAGATCCTTTCTCTTTGTACCAGGAATTGGCCTGTGGGTGATGCGACAAGCACAGGATAACAAAGACTCCAGCACACTTAAGTGGAGGGCAGAGATCAGCTGAGTGCTTGCCTTGACTGTCTGCAGGAGATGCACACTTCATCCCTTTGCAGCATGCAACGGCTTGACATTGCAGGCATGCAAAGAAATAGCAACCTTCTTGTGACAACTCCCTGCTGTGTTTGCTCCTTCTCTTCCAGCTTGCAGCACGTCGCTGGCTGGAGCGCGGTCCCAGATTACTTTGTTGGTCCAGCTTTCTTCCGTGGAAGGTTGTGGATAGAGCATCAGCCACAGGACACTTTCCTGAAGCTACAGGTAAGTCCCTTGTCTTTCCTGTTTCAAGAGGCTTGGGAGCTGGTTAGTCTGGACATCAGTCTGTAGTGGGCCTGATAGGAGAACACGTGCAGTGCTGACCCTGCAGAGCTGCTCCTCAACTGATAAGTCTTCTCTTCTTGCCATACAAAGGCTATTTTCTAGTTGCAGAGCACAGCAAAGAAAGGAGGCACTGGTTTTATCCCTGCCTCCTCAATGGGGCATGGAAAGAGGCACCACTTTGCAGGCATGGCCTGAGAGCTAACGTTCACATCTTCCTTCTGTGGCTTGTTACTGCTCTTGCAGAGAACTGGAGATATGAAGTATTATTCAACTTCCTTCTCTGATTTCATTCCCTTCAAGCCCAGGTTGATGCCAGTCATTACTGTAGTGCTCCCTTTTCCATTTATGCTTTGCTGTCAGTGCAGGATTTCTGTCACTTGGGAATAGGTGAGGGGAGATGTTCTGTGCTTGGGAAGAAATCAAAATGTGCCTGTCAAAAGGATGAGGTTTTCCCCTACAAGCACGAATCTTGAGAAGCTTTATCCTTTTCATCAGCACATCAAGGAGAACTCCTGTTCAACAGGGCTTAAATGTTCCTGCCTTCAGGGAGAGCAAGCGGAAACCCTGCAGGAAGAATGCAAGTGTGGAGCAGACTGAATTCCCTGCGGGAATGCCAGCCAGGCAATAGAGCTGCCACAGTAACCCTGTGCTGTCTTGGTTCTAGGGCTGGGAAAAAGGAGTTGTGTTTGTCAACGGGCAGAACCTGGGCCGCTACTGGAAGATTGGACCTCAGGAAACACTCTACCTGCCTGGCCCCTGGTTACGGAAAGGGAGCAATGAGGTGAGAGGTTTCCCTTTGCTTGTTTGGTGCAAGATCCTGCTCTGGGTCAGGTCCCAAAGAGCTGGACATAGACAGTGTATTGATGACCCGTGTCCAGCTGAAAACCAGGGCAACACAGAGGAAGGAGACTGGTCTCTCCTAAGGTCTGTGAGGTGAGGGAGGGTGCTGCTCTCCAGTGGGTTCTGGCTCTGACAGCCAGTAGGACATGATGAGGATGGCAGCTCACCTTCAAAGCCATCACGTTCCAAATCAAGACAAACCTGCTTCGATGCTGGTTCATTTGCAGCATCGTGTGGTGCTGAAGCAGCAGCCCAGTCGCTGTTCAGAGCTCTCTAAACGCTGCTGCCTTTCCCTGCTGTGACCGTGTGCCTTTTCCTCCTCCAAATACTGACACTAGCTCAGCCTTTGTGTGAGGAACTCTCATATGTCCCTTTCTTCTGCAGATTGTCATTTTTGAGGAGCGCACTGCAGGAAGGATAATACAGTCTGTGGACATTCCTTATTTAGGAAGGACCCAGTATGTGGACTGATGAGAGCTTCTTCCCCACTTTTGGTTCACCTTGAACATTCCTGGTTGCATGGCTGGGACGTGATGGCCCAGGCACTTGGGCATGTTAAATCCCACTAGACCCAGGTAAAGGATTTACTCTTTGGCAGTAAGTTCAGAAGAGAGACTGGGCCCTGAAGGTGGGTCTGTTGTTTCATAGATGGATGTGGAAGCTCATCTCCCTGGACTACTGAGGACCCACAGCTTGGATGGCTGCGCGTGATGCTATGGACAGTCTGAATGTGGGAGGGTAAAAGTGCTGGAGGCAGGAGAAGGAGAAAGAACTGAAATCATCTGAACTGAAAGCTGAGCTCAGTGACTTTCAAGATGTGTTATTATTGGCCTCCTCGTTCCTATCATTAGATAGTGAGAAAATAGTTGGTGAACATGGGAGGAACCAGGTGTGGAAACCCAGGCAGAACTCAGCAACTCGCTCTGGAAAGAGGCCGTTTACTTGTTGACTTGTTGGAAGCCAAGTTGGTTGTCAAGTGGCTTTAATTCAAGCTGTTTTTCCACTAAGTTTTACTCTGGAGGTTTGTGTCTCTCTCTCAAAAAGGAGAAAAAAGGTTTTAAGAAGTGAACTGTGTGTTGTCCTCTGTCAAACATGTCAGTGTGTTTCAGGCCAGGCGGGACCGAGAGCTTGCAAGGAGGAGGAAGGACAAGTTAGCCTTCTAGTCATCCCTCCACCCTGCTCTCACTGGGAAACACCTACAGGTGAAATTCCCCCTCGTAAAAAGAGCAGGGATCAGATCTGGGTTGGGATAGAAGGGATTTGCAGGCATGGCTGCAGGTGGGAGAGCACATCCATCCTTCCTAGTTAAACCCACTGTGAAACCTTGGGATCTTGGGTCCCGTTTTCTTTTTGTCCCCCAAAAGAGAAAGCCAGGATTTAGGGAAACGTGACCTGTTGGTCTGAACTCCCAGCTCAGCAGCCACTGAGGAGCTGCCATCTCTGGAGGGGAGAGGAAGAGGTCAAATTCTAGCTGGGAATCTCCGGGAAGCCGCTCCAGGCCCTGCTTTGTGTCCCAGTAACCAGAGGAGCTGGGCTATGGGGGAAGCACCAGGCATGGTCTCTGGTGATGGAGTTTCAGGGTATGCTGGCTCTTAGAAACCATAGTTTTATTTAACAAATGTCAGTACAGTTTGTTTCAAACTGAGGACAGTGCAGCTGGAACACCCTCCATCCATCCTGCTCTCACCCAGCACACCGCGCGCTGCTCCCCACCACCACCGCGGCCTCTCTGCACGTTGGAAGGGTCCAGGCTGGTGGGACCAGTGTATGGTTGTGTTCAGGACTCGAGCCTTTCCCTTGCAAGGAGGGGAAGGTTGCAACCCAGCAGGGACTGGAATTAAGAGGAGTGAAACCAAACATGCAGCTGGGGGAGGACGCAGCAGTTGGAAACGATTCCAGTGGTAGGAAAACTTGTTGTAGTCCTTTTCCAAGTGTCTCTTTGCACTCTAGGCTTTGCAGACTGAAGTGAACTTGGAGGGTTCATCCACTAACAGAGTCAATCTGCTGCAGTGCAGATGGCTACTGCTTTAATACAAGATACCCCCACCCCGTTCCCATAGAGCAGCCAGCAGCTTTCTAGCCAAGTAGCTCTTCAGCCAGCACACCTAAAGGAGCGTTTCTGTAAGGCTTTGGGACTGGGAGCTGGGGAATGCCACTCTTCCCAAGGGCTTGATACACAGTGGGAGGAAATAACTTACCAAAAATAGATTGTTTGAGATCTGAGGAAATACACAACGTTTCCAGGGTTACTTTTCCCCTCGTTTCAAAGGTAAAATTGTGCTTCAGACCTTTTTGAAGGAATTGGGACAATGATGGAGGTGGGGGGGGGGAGGTTGATCAAAGGTTTAAATACAACATGAAGGGGGAGGTAAGTTCGGGGTGTTGTTAATGGGGAGAAGGGGGATGTTGTACCTCAATGTGTTCCTCAGCAAGTGTGTCAATCTCAACTACAGAGCTAACCAAGGTAGTAGCACCCAGGTTCCTCTTCTGCATTGCTCAGTCCTGTGTCTCACTGAGGAGCAAAACACAGTTTCATCAGAGAACACGCTTCCATCGGGGCTATCTCGGGTCCTTTGATGTTCAGAACACACACACTGTGTTTTACAGAGATAGTTCATCAACCTACCTCGAGCCAGGTGCTGAAGAGCACTAAGCACAGGATCCCCTTTACAAGGGTGCTGCTCGATCCATCCCAAGTTACCTCTGGAACTGCTCCAGCAGCTGTATGGCCTGGCTCTGGAAGAGGGGCTGGGGCTGAGGGGTACATTCCAGTATGACTAAACTCAGCTTTTATCACTAAATCCCTCATTTTAAGCAGTTAACCTCATTTTTTAAGGGTGGAAATTAGGCTTTAGCGAAGAGCATCCTTCGGAGAATCCCTCACCTAACACTCAACGTGAGCCGGGATTTGAGACTGGATCCAGGGTTGTGGTGTGTGGCCACAATACTCTCATTAAACCCCACTCCCAATTGCTTTAGCAGGGATGAATAGAGAACCACACGCTGTAACCATAAATCCATCCAGGAACAGTGGTCAGCTGGGAGTGGACAACAGCTCCATGTCCAGATGGAGACTGGTGACAACTGGGGGTACCTCACAGGTCTGTAGTGGGACCAGCGCTGTTCAGCATCTTCAGCAGTGACACAGGGGCATGGAGCAGGTCTGTGGGTGACCCCAGGCTCAGTGGGGTTGTTGACATGCCCGAGGTTGCTCCAAGCCCTGTCCAACCTGGCCTTGACCATTGCCAAGGCTGGAGCAGCTCTGCTCTGGAGCCAGGCTGGGAGAGCTGGGCTGGGGCAGCTGGAGAAGAGAAGGCTCCTGAAGGGGACACCTTAGAGCAGCTCCAGTGCCTAAAGGGGCTCCAGGAGACCTGGAGAGGGGCTTTGGACATGGGGAATGGTGTAAAATTAAAGGGGAGAGATTTAGACTAGATAAAAGGAAGAATTTCTTTTACAATGAGGGTGCTGAGGCGCTGGCACAGGGCGCCCAGAGAAGCTGTGGCTGCCCCATCCCTGGCAGTGTTCGAGGCCAGGTTGGACACAGGGGCTTGGAGCAACCTGCTCTAGTGGAAGGTGTCCCTGCTGTTGTGGCAGGAGGGTTGGAACTAGATGAGCTTTAAGGTCCCTTCCAACACAACCCATTCCATGAACGCAGAGGTCTGTCAGTGCCCTCCAAACCATGAAACTAATGAAGGGAAGGGAAATACAGAGAGCAGCGGTTCTTGCTGGGCCTGTTCTAACCTGCCTTGCTTTTCACCCTTCCCCAAAACCCTTCCTGTCTTGTGCAGCGTCATAACCACTGATTAAAGTAGGTTTAAAATTAAGGGCTAAGGTGGCTGTCCCCTCCGTGTGTCTCAAGAACAAGAAGTCACCAGGGGCCAGCACGCTCCTGTGGCCATCCTCACCCTCGCCTTCAGGTCCTGTGCACCAGCCCCTTCAGTCTAAACCCCCATCCCAGCAGTGCCACGTCCTCAGTGCATCCTGCTCTGCATCCGCTGCTCCCAAACCGAGCACCTCCTCTCGCAAGGCGGCTGCTCTGCTACCGAAGCTGGTGGCAGTCCTGTGTTTTCTGTGCTTTTTCTCCACCTCCAGTGTCTGGTTGTGCTCAGAGTCCAGGAGGAAAGGCGAGGGGAAGCCGGGCAGTCTATGGATGCAGTGTTGCTTGTTTGCAGTACACTTGGAAGTCAGCAGAGCTCCTGGCTACTGCACGTCTGGCTGCTTGGGTGCTGTGGAGAGGAACCTTGCAGGCTGTGCAGGAAGAGATCTGCAACAGAGACACAAGCAGCATCTATATTACCCTTCTGCCTCGCTGCAGTCAGCTGCCACCCCTTGGAGCTAGCCCAAACCCCATCTCAGCTCCAGGAGTACTGCTGCTAGGCAACTGGGTGGTGGTGACAAGCAGTTGTGACAGTGCTGAAGAGCTGTGGCCCCTCGGCAAAGCTGCTATATATAGTGCAGCTAATGTGCAGCGCAGGCTTTCCTCTGCCGGCCTGCCAACGGGCTGCGAGAGCTGGCCACTGCAGCACGCAGGGCTCCAGCCACCCAGCCTGCGGGTATGTGCTGTATGAGAGCTCACTGGGGCTGAAAACACACTGCTGCCGAGCACATCTGTCCCTTCCCTTTG